TCCCAAATATACTACAGTTTCCTAAGCTAGTTTGTTACCAACTGGCTGCATGAGTCTCTCAACCTAATGTATGTCAGTAAACTCCTGAGTTAACAGTGATCGTTAGTAACCAGGACAGACAATTAAGTTTTGTCCATGGCATACTGTTGGACTACTCGCTGGTACTGGCTCAATATACATTTGTGTACAGTAACATACCAGAGCACACTCCCAGTGGAGTTTTGTGCATACGTCCTGTGGATTTTCTACCCCTTCCAAGACAGTCATGTATTTTTGAAGGTAAATGAGGATTCTTATTTAAAACAGTAGAAATTATATTTGTCCAACCGGTCAGATAGGGGACTTATGAGGTTTCATTAAACACAATGGGAAGAAAAAAGGCAGCATATAAGACTTCCTAAAATTAGATTCTCTTAAGTTACTTGCTTTTGACTGTAAATATAGTTTAGGTACTTAGAAGCCTAGCCAAAACCAGACTTAAAACGCAGGGAGGTTGCTGTACTTACAGCCTAATCACAGAAAGGAAGTAAAGCAATTGGAAACCACACCTCCTTTGTGCAACATGAGGTGGAAAACATTCACCACCCTGATGATCATGGAGAAGCATGCATGGTTAGTGATATCTCAGGAACACATGTAAGCAGAAGCCACTCTGAAGAAATAAGAAGTACCTCTCTGAACCACTTACATACCACTTTGCGCTACCTTCTGCCTAAAAGCCGGGAAGAAAGAGAGACAGAGATCTTACCACTCTAGATTTCTTGCTGTGACACCCTGTGTTCATGAGTATAAACCACTGTACAAGACATTTTCAGAAGAAAGGAAAGGTGTAGCCTTTAATTCCCCATTTGCCTTACTTTGCTACTCATTTTTGGGGGTGGTCATTTATATTGCAAGTTTCTTGTGGCACGGGTCTTGCCCATCCCTCATTCTGTCTATATAATATATAAAATGAACACCACTATTACTAGATTTAGTTACAACAGCGTGCTTTCATAGAGACAAGGGGCCGGCTGGGCTCAGATGGGGCCCCTGCAGTTATTCTACTACAGATGGATGTTTCAGGAAAGACATGCTATTAGTTTTGTGGTCTTTTCACTACCCAACTGAAGATACTGTGCAAAAGCGAGAGACAGAAAGAGGTGATCAGTTGTTAATGGCATAGCTTAATAACCTAAAGTGAATATTACCAGAACATCCAAAAATCCAGAAATACCGGATTTAACACATCTGCATGCCTGCTCTAAATTTAAAAGGGAAAAAAAAGAGAGAGAGAGATTGGGATAACCAAATTATTTTTAACTCATCTCTTTTCACCCAGAAGATAGACAGTCACGATTATTTGGCTAAGGAAGTACACGTTCAACAGTAATTTGAGGTTTTAAATTACTTCAATTAAAAGAAGGAATTAGTAAGAGTCAGAAAAGCAGAAGTCCAAACCCAACATGAAATACTACCAGCGCTGCTAACATCCCTAAGGCTTCATTTAAGGAACACAGGTAGGTTTGGATTTGTTTCTTTCATTCAACAACTCAAACTACAGAATGTTTAAACAAAACCCTAAGACTCTCTACACTTTAAACTAGTGTTCACTTTTCCCAGCCCATTGTTATATGTCAGACATTTATCCACACACCACTCCAGTCAAGTAGTGGAGAACCCCGAACACGCAGGTCGCCTAGAATTCTGTACCAAATTTTAACCCTATAAACCTAATGATATTTTTGCCAGACTGTAAAGCTAATAGGCCTGTGCAAAGTGGCTAGTATTTACTCCGGATATAGCCGATTCGGGGGACAGCGAATCGATTTGGTGGTTCGAATCAATTCTGCTGAATCTGATTCGGAGGTTCGGCTGCTGACGAATCACACAGGCATCCCATTCCCTGCCTGCTCTCAATGGCTGCCTCACCTGTCCCGGCTCCGGCTCTTTGAAGAAAAAACCAAAAAAGCCTGCACTCACCTGCGCTGCATGGGGGGCTCTGCCACAAGCCTTGAGAAGCCCCAAGGCAGCTGTAGCAGCTTCTGAGTGCGGGGGTGGGGGGGGTGTTGGTTTTTTTTCAAAGGGTTGAGAGCTGGGGTGGGCAGGGCAGTTTTGGTACTAGTTTAGTTTTGGTACTAGAAAGGACTTTCTAATAGACACAAAGGAGCTTCCATGCTGAATTAGACCAGTGATCTATTTACTACTGTAACTGAAAAAGAATGACCTAGTGTTAGACATCTGACAGGAAGCAGCAAGATACTCAGAAATGAAAATCTGCACTTATATGTTCCCATTTGAGAGGGGAAGGAGTTCCCTCTTAGCTTTAAAATCCATTCCCTTTCAATTTACCATTGCTCTTGTAACAGAGATAACAAGACAATAAACCCCCTCCCCCAATTAACCAACTTTTAACATTCATTAATTGCATGTGCATATCTCCTCATTCATCTCCCAACCTACTCTCAGTCAGAACTCCTTCCACTCCTATGCCTTTAATTTAGCACAGAGAGTATTTTAAAGTAGCCTGCTAGTCATATTCAGTGCAAATTATTTCAATGCTCAGTAAATCAAAACTATTTCATGTTTAGAGCCCTAATTTAGATTTTCTACTTCAGAAATGTTGGAAAGACTGCAGGAAACCTGTATTAGCAATGAAAACCTAATTTAATTTCCTGGAACAAGCAATAATTTTATAGCATTTTTTGTTTCAGTTTATCAGCCATGCACCTAGTCTCAAGATTATCAGCTTAAGCGTGAGCAGCCACATACAAAGACACTACATATACGTACATCTGTCTTACCTGGTAAAATTTTGACATAAAGTTACCCACTCTTTGCTACAACCATTTTGTTCAATTAGTCCTTATGGCAGGAGTGAGCAAAATGCAGCCTGGGGGCCGGATGCCATTCTATCTGGCCCGCAGGCCCCCTAAAATATTTAGAAAATTAATATTAATCTGCCCTGGGCTGCCTGTCGTGCGGTCCTCAATGGCTTGCTGAAACTCAGTAAGTGGCCCTCTGCCCAAAATAATTGCCCGCCCCTACTTTATGGAGACATATGGTGATCTTTACATAAGGGTAATACTGGAAATACTAAGTGACTGGTTTGGACAGACAGAACCACTTCTATGCTTGTTAGTAACAACAGTCTTACCCATACACGATCATTTTCGCAAAAAATTGATTCGTCTGCCAATTTTCCTTTCAGAACATGCCGCCCTTTTAAAGGAGAGATAATGGGGAACTTTAAATGCGCCATCCATTTCAGCTGCTTAAGTCCCCAGGCTGAAATGTTATTACCGCAAAAATATTTGATTGTTTTTCTTTAATCTTGTATTGATGACAATAGGCAAACAAAGGTTCAATATCCCAAGTCATTCTGTAAACACATGAGAAACCGACCCAACCCTCGAACCCCATTTCAATTCCGGGTACCTCAGGTCATGTCAAGCAGCGAAACGGAGAGCGCATCTCGTTCTGCTTGAAGCAAGCCATGTCTATAGACAAGCCTGGGACTAAGGGACTCAATCAGAAATTGCCAAGCTGAACCTCTCCTGACCGCACGGCTGTCAACCAACAGAACTTCCTGTGATGCTTCTCTCTGCCTCCGATTCCCAGCTGGCCTCAATGCCAATAGAGACAAGATAACGAAGCACTGGACCAGGCTGCCCACAGAGGTGGTGGAGTCTCCATCCTTGCAGGTTTTTAAGACCTGGCTTGACAAAGCCTTGTCTGAGATGATGTAGTTGGGGCTGGTCCTGCTTGGAGCAGGGGGCTGGACTAGATGTGACCTCCTGAGGTCCCTTCCACCCTCGCTGTCTACATTTCTAACATAGCAAGACGTCTCCCACCATCTTGTCAGTATCGGACATGGGAAGGTTTCATAAGCCGACCTTCTCCAACACTGGCGAGTCTCGCCTATGCTGTCCTTCCCACGGCTGGGGCTATCAACGCCAAGTTAGTCAGCCCACTAGATGCAGGCATCGCCCGAGTTGCTAAATGCGCCCTTTCGACATGAAAGGGGAGACAGCTCGTACCGCCGGCGTTTCTGTTCACCGCTCACAAAACACCCGACACCCAAAAGGTGCAGGAGGGACTCGTGTCATCTCCCACCCTATCCTCAAAGTAACCCCGAACCCTGCCTAGTCCCATCGCGACTGTGGAAACAGTGCAGAGAATTAAAAAATTAAGCTATGAGTTCAGAGCACAGGCGTGGGCACATGCCCGAGAACACGACTCTGCGCTCACAACCTCGAGCCCCTGAAGCGTGCCCCGAGAGCGCGGCGCTTGGGGAGGGGAACGCTCGGAGCAGCCCATGCGCCGCACGGGGACGGGCCGAGCCGAGGAACCGGGGACGCTCCAGGCTGACAGTGAGGCGGCTCAGGGGCCGGGTGGCTGCAGCCGAGGCGCGCAGCGCGGGCTCCCGTTAAACAGCAACGTCTGGTCTGGGGGGAGGGAGGGGGAAGGGGGCTTACAGACGAGCTGGGGGTGGCCGTGAAGACGTGTCAGCGCGGGGCTCGGAGCGCTCGCAGCACGGAGGGG